GAGGGATGAAGTAAAAACCCCGGTGGGACAAGTGAATGGACCTTACACGATACAGCGGCTATTAATACTCGGTGACTGGTGGCACTGCATGGGCCGTGTGATTAGGCAATCACCCAGGGCAAGGCGGCTGCCAGGTCACCCACTTACGGATCATACACTTCCGGAAGTAGAATAGGAGACTTCCGCGTCCCAACCAAAGGAGATAAGGTCACACAACGAAAATACGTCCTTGCCTACAAAACCAGAATGAGACTTTGGGGTGGAGAACTGCGTGGAACGCGATGGCTGAAGGACTGGTGCCGCACACAGCTGCCGACCGCAGGCTCAAGGGTAAGAGGGCAACTGGAGCCGGAGAGGCGTGGGTCCTGAGGCTTGCTTGGTTGATCCTGAAGCTGAGAGTGGGAGTTGGGAGTACAGGCTCTGGTGGAGTGTCTGTTCAAGACAGAACAGCCAGAGGTCAATCCAGGAATATCCGCAGCATTCACGAAGACGGCATTGTCCCCGAAACCAGATGAACAGGGAACGGTGGCACACGTCTGTAATCCCAGCATTTGGAAAAGGGAAGACAGGAGGACACGAAGCTCAGGGTTATCTTTAGCTGCACGCTGGGTTGGAGTTTGTGGCCAGTGTAGGACACATCACTCACTGCCTCAGAAGCATGCTTTTAAGAGTTGTTAATACTTAATCTTTAAAAAGGAGAAGATGCATCCATCGCTCTCTGCTTCCGGACTGTAGATGCGGCGTGAGCAGCCGCCTGAGGCTCATGCCACCGTGCCTTCTGCACCATGGTGGACTCTGACCTACAACTACGAGCCCAACAACAGAACAAAACAACAAACAGAACAAAATCCTCTTTCCGGGCGCTGCTTTGGTCAGGTGTTTGGCCACTGCAAAGAGACAAGTGACTGAAACAGGCCACAGTGGTGAAAACACGCAATATGGCCGCACAGGCCTTACTCCTCCTGCGATCCCTGTTTGACTTCCCAGGACTGCCTTATCAGCCCGCAGCTCTAGGAACTTGACCACAGTCTTGTTCCCTGTCCCCCGGTTCCAGCTGCAGGAACTGGATGGACGGGCCTACTGTCTTCCTCAGCCACACACACAGTACTTCTTGAGGATGCTTGGTTCATTAGGTAGCGCCCCCTTTCTTCTCCCACAGCAGGTTCTCCAGCTCCACCTCTGTCCCGTGGATGGCTCACTAGGGAGACAGCTGTCTCACAGCTGTGCGCACAGCACCTAACACAAGCGTTCTTCCTGTTCATTCATCTTTCTGCCTCCATATTCTGTCCTTCACCTTTGTCTCCTCCTCACCAATAAACTTTTCTAGGCCTCAAAAATACTGCTTCCACTCCTCCCAACTCAGACTGCCAAACTGTTACTTGGCGTCATGTGCTCCAGCTGCCCTGCCCCCAACCTGAGTTAACTGTCAGTGTCACGAAATCTAGAATCACCTGGGAGACAGGCGGGCACCTGAACGTGCCTGGAGGGGATTATGTTGATGTCTTGGCCAAGGTTTCCATTCTGTGGCCACGGTGACTCTGTTAAGGAAAGCATTTAACTGGGGCTGGCTTGCAGCTTGTCATGATGGGAAGCACTGCAGTGTGCAGGCGGCCCGGTGCTGGAGGACGGCAGGAAGTGAGTGCCACGCTGGGCATGCTTTGAGCATCTGCGGCTTCAAAGCCCACCTTCAGTGACACACTTCCTCCAACAAAGCCAACCGGATTCCAGCAGGCCACACCTCCTACGGACCACGCATTCAGACATGTGAGTGTAATGGGCCGTGCCTATCCAAACCACCACAGTGAACTTTGTCCTTTGAGGTGGGTGGCTGCATTCTCTATACAAGTCCTGGATTGTGTAAATGGAGAAAGGGAGCCTGGCTGCAGCACTGCAGAGACCACGTGTCTGCTCCTGATTGTAGATGCAGTGAGCAGCTGCTGTAAGCACCTGCCTTGACTTCCTCACCATGATGGATTCCCACAGTAAGATCTTTCTCCCATAGTAATTTTGTCAGTGTGTCTCATCCCAGCAATAGGACAAGAAGCTTAACACTCCCAAAACTCGTAGGTCAGCAAAGGTACCATAATTCCTGTAAGCCTATTCTCAGGCCCTGCCCTTCTCTGTCCTGTGTTGGCCCTCTTATAAAGCAGACCTTGCTTGTGGAAGCTTGCTGTCTTCTCCGTTTCTTTCTGCGATCCTCCCTGGAGTTGCATGTTGGGTGTGTGTTTGATCCTCAAGTGATCCTGTCAATCAAGGGGCTATAACCATAGGGGGAAAAATCCCTTTCCTTAGTATAATGCACCTTAGTATAGAGCATTAATGGTGTGGCCCTTGTCTAACTACCCTACACTTTCTGGTGTTCCCAAGTGCACCTGGCCCACCCGCCCACCTGTACTTTTCTATTGTCTGCCTTGTTTGTATTCACACTTCCCCTCAGTAGTCTTTCACAGGTATAATCTCTAGGTAGCATACAGACAGCTCAGAGGCATCATCTCTGATGACTGGAGTGCGGCCTCCGAGGTCAAACCAAACAGTAGGCATTACTCACAGGTACCTACGATCTCACTCTTCTACCTAGAAGTGTCTCCAACATCCAAATCCTTCCCAGCTTTCAAGGTTCATACTTAGAATGCCACCTCTGTAAAACCCCTATCCATCTCCCTTCAACAGCCAACACGATTTCCTCTCTCTCCCCCGCCCCTTGTTTTGTAGTAACTCTATGTTTATACCAGGAGGCTTTGGAAAAGAGAGCTCGCTTCTGGGCTGGCTTGTTTGTATTTTATTAAACATCACTGCTGTGTGAGCATTTCTTGGGGAGGGGTGTGCAAGTCTGACAGGGAACCGACAACGTAGGCCTACCTACGTCCGGTTCATCGTGCTTATTTACAGGAACACGGTGAGAGGCTAGAGGAGCATGGGTAACCAGAAAAGGAACCACATCACTAAAGCCTCACCCATTGGGCATGACCTCCTTATGGCTGCCTGGATGGGGTCTCTCTCCTTCGTTAGCCTCTACACCTATTCAAGCAGCAACTAGGACCCTGTGCTGATAGCTGCAGTGGAGGGGAAGGGAGTGGCCAGCCTCTCCAGAGGGCTGAGGACCCTGCTCTCGCGAAATCACACGGCAGACCTGGCTTTGAGGAATTCTTACAGGCAGCCGGGGATGTTCTGCTTGAGGTGGTAGCAACTGTTATGCTCAGGGGACAGCCTTTCAAAGCAGCTGTCTTAAAGGCTTGGCTTGCAGAACTGTGCTATCAGGAGATGGTGAAGCCTTTAAGGGGTGAGACTTAATCAGAGGTCTTCAGGCATGCTTTCCAAGGGGATAGTTAGAGACACCAATCCCGCATCTCCCCTGCTGCTCAGCCAAGAGGTGAGCAGCCCATCTCTGCGCTGCGCTCCTGCAATGGCACGCCCACCTGTTTCCTACAGAGGCCTGAAAGCAACGGCTCTTCCTAGTAAAGCCATGGACCACAGCCTCCACACTGTGAGCCGAACGTAAATGGTTTATTTTCCTACACTGACCATCTTAACCGTTTATTTCAGCAAAGGGTAACAGGCGTTGGGCATGGAGTAGTTAAGTACCTCCTATGCTGTGAGGAAGAGAGAAACGATGTGGGAAAAGCCCTGGCACAGCGCCTGGAGCACAGAGACCTAGGCATTCATGGACTATCAGCATCCTCCTCTTCAGACTCCTCGGTGACAGGATTTCTGACTGTTTACTCTTTTGAAGGCAAAGTCTTCTCCAAATGCCAGCTGGATCAGAGCCCTGTCCCAGACAGACTTGGTAAGGTTTCATCATGTTCTGAGTGCTCTGCGTATGCCTGATCTCAAGACCCGATGAGGCTGGCTTTCCTATCTCCATCCACAGATGAGGGAACATGTGCAAGGAACTCAAGATTTTCTAGCTCGAATCCTGACTAAGGACAGATGTGGTGGTGGAGGCTGTTTGTCAACACCCCCGCTGCGGATTCTCAGAAAGCAGTCCACATCACCTTTGTCATGTTAGTGGTCTTCTCATTATCTAGACAAACAGTTGCTTCGATTTTTCTCATTCTTTTAACAAAATATTTCCAAGAGACTAGCTCATTGACCTCCTCTGGGTGAGGAGAATGTTTTTCATCAAGATTTTACCAGAATTCCATGTAATTGCCCTAAGCACAAAGGCCTTCTTCACGAACACCCTGGGCTCTCCGCTAGGAGCTCTCGATGGAGAGATGACCCTCGCGTTCCATCCAGCACGCCTTCAAGGCACTAACCGTGCAAAACTCAACTCGCTAGTATCCAACTCACTAAACGTCCAGCAGCCAACAAACGACCTCAAGGAAGGCAAAGGCGCTTTCCACCAGGAAAGCCGAGAAGTCTTGACCTGAGCTGTCTGTAGGCACATTTCCAGGTATACTTAGTGGTAATCTTTCTCACCCCCATTTCATGGGTCTGTGATGTGTATGTTGGCAAGCAGGTACGTGCACACACGTATCGGTTCCTCTCGTGTGGCCTCTGCTCTCAGCCACCTCGGCTGCATCCTCCCATGGTTACCCGACATGTGTACCTTCACTTCCGGCATCTATTCTCCTGGTTCACCAAGGTGCCGTCAGCAACTGTATCACTGCAAGTTCCTTACCTTAAAACGTCTACACATCTGTGGGCTGGTAAGATGGCTCAGTGGGGAGTGGCGTTTGCCCTCAATCCTGATGACCTCAGTTCGATCTCTGAAGCCCACATCATGGGACAAAGAACCAACACCACAACCTACCCCCCGACCCCTCGGGTGCACCATGTACGGGACCCTCCGCAACAAACTGTTTTTAAGTTCACATATGTAAATGTTACCGCCTTTTCTTATTTCCCCCCAGTTTTCTGTACCCTTTCTCTTCTGATTCCGAATCACTCTGCTCTCTTAGCAGTTCGGGTTCCATGTCTTGCTCCTAGCAGCCTACTCAAAAGAGCACCGTATCTTACTGATGCAAAATTTTAACAGGCAAAGAAAGAACAATGACACATTTTTAATCAAAGTACGCAATAATGACAGGTTTATTTAAAATTTTCCAGTAGAGAAAACCCTGCTAGCATTGGAATAAAAGTACTCAATGTATAAGGGCAAAGGAGAATAGAAAAAATTAACAGAAGAAAACAAAAGGAAACAGTACAAAAAACCAAAACCAAACAAGACCATTTGATGTGGATTCCAATAGAGATTCTTTAAACCCGTGACTAAGGTTTGGCAAACAATTTATTTGGAAATTAAAGCCTGTGTCTGAACTGTAAACTCTGTAAAACTTGCTTACTGAAGTCAAGTCTTTCATGTACTGGGTACTGAAATATAGAGCCAGTTGATTTGTGAATAGAAGAAACCGACCACTTGCTCTCACAGACACAGGGACTAACCAGCTGCTTAAACGTGCTGTGGAGTGGACAAGACAGAAGAAAAGAAAGCAAGGTCAGAGCAGACTCTAAGAAAACGGAACCACAGCAAGTTCAGACACCAGCATGTTCGCTTAAGGCAGCAAACTGAACTTTATGGTCTGGCCTACATCTGCGTTGTCACTTCCTCACCCCACCCGCCCCTCAGACACCTTCTACATCCGTTTAGAGTGATCATGACCTCCAAAGGTTCTGTATATACATATTTAGCAGGGAGCATATGCCTGATATCATTCTGACAGCAGTATAGCCAGGGCACAGTTTTACAAAGATTACTATGCATGTCATAAAGATTAACCTTTACTTTAAAAACAAACAAAAACCATTCATTTCTAAACAAGTTATTTTACAATATCATGAAAACCATGAGAAGATGATTCGATGTGAGCTCTGAACCTGACGAGAAGTACACCTCAGAAAGACTACTGATGCCGGCCTTCTGCCAAAAGGATTGCTTAGTTTCCCTAACAGATATTTGTCCCTGGCTTGGCCATCTCTCTCTCTTTTTTTTTTTTAAACTATACACAAAAGTTCTGCTAAAGGTCAGCATTTTAGTTGATTTTACAACAGAATTCACAATGTAAACTAAACAGGTTCTCGATATCAATAGCATGTTACCAAGGCTTGTCAATTTCTTAATCCAACAGTTGGTCACAGAGGTCAAGTATTATCAAGGCTCTTTTGTCGGCTTTTCATCCTGTCTGACTCATCCATCCTTCAAGTACATGCAAGGCTCAAGAGTTTGCAAGAGACAGAAGTCCGAGGCCCTTAAGACACCGATGAAATAGGATTGTGGGGTGAGCCCATCTGGGTGAGGACTTTATCCAGCCACTGGAGAGGGCCGTGCAGATGGATCTCGATCCAGCAGGGGGTGCTGGTGACGTCCTGCCTGTGGTACTCTGCTCCCCAACCCTGGAAAAGGAGACACGGGGCCATTTAACTCCTTTATCTCAGCAATTCAGGGGAGCAAGGAAAACGATCCTAAGTCAGTTCCCACAATTCAGTCTGGACCCATGGCTATGTCCCACGTACACAAAAGCCACAAATGCATGCGTGATTTAGTGGTAATTTGGGGGGATGAACACTGACCACTTGAAGCCTATCCAAGGACCCCAGATTAGCCATTTTGTTGGGTGTGGTGGCATACACTTTAATCTCAGCATTTGGGAGGCAGGAGCTGGAAGACCTCCGTGATTCCAGACCAATTAGGGGTACAGAATGAGACCTTTTTTCAAATAAACGAGCAAACAAACAAACAAATACATATTAGTGGTCTTTATAATTAAAAGTTTAAAATATATATTCAACAGCTGTTTGAATAAAGACACTTTAAATGCTTATTTCCCGTCACGTTATTGTTGTGTTGAACTTTATTATCTTTTAAAGGCAGGTTCCTACTATGTCACTGACTGGTCTGGGACTCCCTGTGTCAACCAGACTGGCCTCAAACTCAGGGGCTCCCCGCCTCTGATCCCTGAGCACTGGGATTAAGGGCGTGCATCAGCAAACTTAGCTTTAGTTACATTTTTATGATTTTACTTTAAAATCATGGATGTGTTTGAGCGTAGACTTATCTACAAATGCAGCGCCTGCGGAGTCCAGACTGTCGGGTGCCCTGGAGCGGCCGTTGTGGGCTGCTGTGAGCCATCTCGGCTGGGTGCTGAAACCAACCCGGGACCTCTGCAAGGGCACACTGCTAACTGAGTGACCCCTTGCTCGGTGTGCGTGTTCATGCCTGAAGAGGCGGGGCAACACTGGCTGTCTGCCTCAGTCACTCTCCACTGTATTTCTGAGACAAGGCCTCTTGCTGAGCCTGGGTGTTTGCGCTGGGGTTCCGGGTGTGCAGGAACGCGCTGTGCAGCAACGCCTATGAAGAGAAGGCCTCCCACCTCAGAGGGGAGTCCTGTCACTGCCACGCATTCTAAGGCAAGGTGAAAGAGCCTAGAGGCAAACCCCTCAAAACTCGGCAGAAACAACACACGAAACTGATTCAGTAGGCCCCTCTTCCCTACGCTGAAGAACCAGTAAGGGCGGCTGCGACACTCAGGCCGGCTGGGCTGCTGGAAGGCCTCGCATCCCCGGAGCTTCTGGGAAGACCCTTCCAGCCTGCAGAGCCACCTGCATACTGTGCAGTGAACTCCAGGACCTCAGCTTTTGGGAACCGTCACCCATGCTGGGGTGAGTTTTGGGCAACACAGGCTGTCTTTGAGACACTTCTGTTCCTATGAGCAACCTCAATAAAACTCACTGGTTCACCATGATGGACGTCAGTGGTATCCGTACTTAGGTCTGTCCCTGTTCCCTATCTGGGGTGAGCAGATTTTGTTCATGTCTCCCCGACAACCATGGGCCTCCCAGGGACTGAACTCAAGTGCCAGGCTTGTGTAGGAGGTGCCTTTGCCCACCAAACATCGCACCAGAACCCCGGAATTTTCTCTTTTCGAAATGGGTGTTAGTGATGCAAATTCAAATTCAGGTCTTTATCACTGCATGGCAAGCCTTCTACTGACGGAACCGTCTCAGTCCCTGTTCATTTTTTTCAGAGAGATTCTTACCCCATCGTCCTGCCGGCCTGAAACTCACTATCCAGTCCCAGCTGGATGCAAACTTGTAGCAATCCTTGGGTCTCAACCTCCCATGTGCTGGGATTACGAGTGTGGGCTGCCACGCTTGGCTCCCCTTGCCCATGGAACCCAAGGTCTTTCACATGCTAAACAATACTCCACCAAAATGACATCCCCAGGCCTGTTAAAGCTGGGGATCATTTCATTATCCCTTTATCCTCAATAAACACATAAAGGTGATGTCAGACAGACTGACATTCTGTCTCTTCCCCACTCTGGCAGATAAAATTCTACCTGTCAACAACACACATCTCTTGATCTTCCAGTTTCAAAATTGACAGGACAAGAGTCACCTCCCCACCCCCAAATTTCGTCCTGACATCTAGTCATTGCCTTGAAGCAATGGGCTCCATCATTCATCTGCTCAAGAAGGTGGTTTGCTACATGGCATCAGAATGACCAATTAGCACAGTAACATTGACAGCAATCAGCATGAAAGCCAGGTGATGGGATGTGCCTATAACCCTAGCACTAGTGACAAGAAGATCAACAAAGCCAAAATATCTGGTCCCAGGGGGCCCAGCAGTGACATCAAACAAGGACGATGCTTGGAGAGGCCCTAGATGCCCTGCTCAGAATTAGCCCATAGGCAGCTCAGTCACAGGTGGACTTCCTAGTAAGTGAGAGGCTGCGGCAGGATGATCACAAATGACTTCAAAGTCTGGGCTACACTGAGTCTGAGCCAACCTGGGTTATACAATGAGACCCTGTCTTAACTGAAAACACAACGGTGTTGGTGCGGAAAAGAAAGAGCATAACGGTCTGAGTGATCCTTGTCTGCAAAGAGTAATGGCTACTAGGGGTCTCTGCTACATACCTTCTCCAGCGATTGTAAGAACTACATCTGAATATGAAGACATACGACAACACTGAGCATATGAACTCCACATGTGTATGTGCACACACGTCCTGGGTTTGTGCACTCAACAGCTAGTTCCGTGCAGGGAACTCTCTTTGGACAGGTGAGCTCTTTGAAGACGGGGGCTGCCATCTGACCGCCAACATCGTGGACTGTCACCAGTCTGAGGCAAACGCTCCACACCTACTTTCTGGGCCAGACTGATTTGGCTTTTTAACATTCATAAAGCATAGTTTTATATTAACACCAAACGTGATCATCTCAAAACCAGCATGTTTTCACCGTTAACTTTAGTACAGTCCTCTGGATACTTTCTCCAAGATGCCAAGGAGGCAAGGCAAAGCCAGCATCCCTCCCAGCAGGAAGCAGGAACCAGGGCCACAGAAAGTGTGCGAGCTTTTGTTACCACCATACGGCTTCTTGGTGTGTGGAGCCTGCCACGTCCCAGGTCACCGAGCTTTTCCAAAGTTTATTATGTATTACCTGTTCACGTGGGTGGCTATGTGTATACAGGTGCCCTCAGAGGACAAAAGAAGGCATTAGATTTTTGGAGACAATCCTGAGAACAGGATTCTGGTCCTCTGTAAGAGTCCTCTCTCTCGCCCATCACCAACTTTTTAGTATGGAAGATCTGTCCGGCCTAAACTGCCAGCCATATCCATCCTGTCTGGCACAGGTGCCATGCCAGTATCTGTTCAATTCTTTTACGCTGTGTTATTATTAAGGCCACAGGAAGCCTATGCATCCTGAAGCTAGAGACTTCAGATGTGGGTTGTTTCCTTCTCTGTATTGTTGTTGTTTTCAATAGTATTTGCATAAAGAATGAAGTCAATAAATTTTGAATCCACAGCTTTGGGCTGAAGAGATGACTGAGCAGTTAAGAGCATTTGCTACTCCTCCAGAGGACCTGAGCTTGGTTCCAGGCACCCACAATGGCATACAACAGCCTGTAACTCCTGCTACAAGAAATATGACACCTTCTTCTGGCCTCCATTGGCACGTGCACGCACGCACGCACGCACGCGCACGCACACGCACGCACGCGCACGCACACGCACGCACACACACGCACACACACACACACACACACACTGCATTCATACGTATACACACACTGATAAGAGTAAAAACAAAATCTTTCAATACCTTAAATTAGTGCAAACGTCGTTCTTAGTTGTTTTTAGTTTTATGCAACGGGAAATAAATGCCATGGAGACAGCTTATTGGCGCACCAAGAGCCAAAACTTCTTCAAGAATTCAATAATCACAGCCCCGTTACACAGGTCCCAGTTCCCTCCAGCCCCAGTTTACAGACCCTGAGCAGGAGGTCTGAGAACAACCCTGATGCCTCAACCACAGTTAAAACATCTGTTCTCAAGAGTTGTTCTTTTTCCCAAACAAAAACCTGGTCAGTGGCTGGCCTCATTTTGAAAATCGTCTGAGCCAAGATGCTAAGTCAAAACTGAAATGGTGATTGTGAATAATGAACAAGGAGAGGCTCTGTGGTCACATTTGCATACAATATACAGGTCAACTGCTTTAAGGGGTTTTGAAAAAGCCTCCTTTACTATTAGAGAGGTGCCACAACCAGCTGAGGAGGAGGAAGGGTGCCTTTGATCTGGATGGTGATGAAGAAAGCGGCTCCAGAATTGCCCAGTGATGAAGACGTCTCAAAACAGGCCCAGCAAGAAGTCAGGGCGCTTTTGAAGGCAGCACATGAAAGGGAACGTGCCTCATCCAAGTCTGTAATTAGCTCTCTTCCTCAAGGTAAAGCGGGATAAAGATTTATCTCTGAGACTTCAGAAACAAGCCAGTTACTAGAATGTGCCATCATCAGATATACTTTAAAAAAAATTCAATGGCATCTTAAAAACTTTCCTTCTTAGTGGAAGAAGTGGACAGAGGTATTTGCTGTAAGCAATGACTTGGGCCTTCTCCCTTCTTTGATATTACAGAACACTCTTGAAGCTGAGAGTAAGGGCTCTGCTAGCTTTTCAATTATACACAACACACAAAATTTACTAGAAAGACTTAAAATGAAAAATCTGACCAACGGAAAATAATTTCCATGTGATGTTTCTCACCTACTTGTTTTGTTACATTAATCTACTCCCCTCCCAGCCCTGTGTGTGAGTGTGTGTGTACATGTGGAGGTCAGAGAACAACCTGAGGGTTCCTGGGTCTCTCTCCACTTCGTGAGCCCCAGGAACCAAACGGCCCTAAGGCTTAGCAGAAGGTCCCTTGCCGTGCCACCTCACGGGCTCTAGAAGGTGCCCTGACTGCTGAACTGCAACCAACAGGCTCTGGCAACCTGACAGTACTAAAAGCTAAGACTGAGGAACAAAGACGAATTTATTCTGCTGACCTCCTAGGATGATCACGTACTTAGGCTACACGGTCACTTCGTCATTTTCTACGGTGTTAGAGCAGCTATGCAGCTACACACACAGCGCTGCGGGAGGAGCACCGGCCTGGCACGGCAGAGAGCGTACAATGGGGCAGCGGCGGAACACGGGCCTGGACTCCTAGCCACTCCAGAGGTGGGGCTGACGGGTCAGGACTTCAGACTGAGCTTCAGCCTCAACCCAGACACCTGGGCTACATTACAGCCTCTCAAAACTAACCAAAGTGTGAGCAGGGCCAGCAAGGTGGCTCAGCAAGGTGGCTCAGCGGGGGAAAAGCACCTGCCACCAAGCCTGGAGATCTGAGTTCTATCCCTGGGACCTACGTGGTGGGAGGAGAGGATGACGTTGCTAATGTTCCAATGACAATCTCTTAGACACTAACCCTCTGGTTACAGGTTTGAAAAATCCCTCTGTAGTAAGTCTGCCTATAGGAATATATACCAAGATTTATATATTGTGAGAAAGCACAGTGGGGAGGGGGCGCCGCTCACCTTCACGAAGCTCATCCGAATAGTGCACATTTTGGTGAGTTCATACACTGTCTCGAAACCGTGGTTCACGGACTGTGCCAGTAGCTGAGCAAATTCCTGGTTGTTGAAGATTTTCAGGCTGCAGCCGCTGGGGATCTTGCAGACAGTGGTGGGGTGGAACCCGTGGTGGTAGTTGCAGTTCCGACTCTGCACGAAGATGCTGCTGTCACTGAGGCACTCGGCATACACTTCCCCTCCAACGTAATAAAGGTGCACCCCTGCGGGAAGGCACAGCACACAGGTCAGACCGCGGACAGGCACCCAGGCGGGCAGGCTGGGCCGCTCACAGAGGCCCTGGCTAGACCCTCAGGTAACCACGTTACCCCGTGTCAGCCAGTGTGCTCGGGAAATAACAAAAGTCTCTCAAAAATAATAAAGTGTAACACTTTCATTTCAGCAGTATTTAACGCCCCACTTGGCCAGAGTTGAAAGTATATCTGCACTCTAAAAATAGAGCGCAATAAAGCCAGGAGTTTACTGGGGCACCCCGTGCGTTTAAAGTCTCCTGCCTTCATGCCAGGGCTAAACTGTTGAGAAAACTTCAGAGAGAGAGAGAGAAGGGATGATTAATAAACATGGAGGAACGAAACCCAGGCTGAAGAGGTACTGCTGGAAACTGGACAACAGGCATTCTAGTTAAAACACGAGCTTTTTAAACAGAAGGACTGTGTGAAATAAGAGCTCACCAAAATAACTACTAAAAATAATAACTGAAAACATCTTATAACTTAGAATGCAGGATCTGGGCAACAGCCCTCTTCAAGCAGGGGACGGTGGGCAGCGACCTGGACCCTTCCCGGTAAGCGTGGAAGGAGAGAACCAATTCTGCAAAGCTGCCCTCTGAATGCCACATGCAAAATAATTACAAATACATCTTTAACGGCAGGAAGGAAAGCCCTCTGAAGAAGCCTTGGGACGGGGCAAGAAGTGCCCAGCACACGGGGGGGGGGGGGGGGGGTGCGGCTTCCAACCTGCAGGTCACTGTGGCACAGCTCAGAAACAAACGCTACCATGACTGTGTGAAGACACAGCACTTGTCATTCCTACAGACACCCAGGGCTAAGACTTCAGGGTCAGCTCCACCCACTGGGGTAGAAATCCATTTTGTTATAGAGAAATATACTTAAGAGAGAAAAATATAGAGTAAACTATTTAAAAGAAGAAAATTCCTTTGATCCTGATAATTAAGATGATGAGTCTCTATTGTAGAAAATTAAGGCAGTGTATGAAAACGTAAAGATGTGGAAAATGTTAACAATCCTTCAGCAGAAAGATGCGTGCTAGTGGTGTGTGTGAGCACGCTGGGCTTTGCAATCAGTAAAGCTTCTGTACTAACGTCTAAACTTCTGCATGACTGTCCTGCTGTGCCTCCCCAGCCTCCTTCAGCACCCCAGTGCTGACACACACTTTCTGTTACTGCGGTCATGACAGGTGTCACTGGACTGTTTTTACTACTATCCATAGATTCCTGGAAGTTAAACGGCTGGATGGAAGGCCTTTGCAGAATGAGTGTGTCAGCTCACAGCCGCCATCAGCACTGTGTGAGGGCTGCACTCGTTTGACCTACTCCAGCACTGGGCCTGAGCAAAGTGTTCGTAGCTGGAAAATAATGTAACTGTTTTAATTTGCACATGGCGCTGGGCGTGCTCTTGTGGTTTAATGGCCATTTGGTGTCTCTCGTCCACTCTCTGTCTTTACTTCTCACCTGTTTATCCCCCTGGAGTTGTAGGATTTTTACTATTATTATTTTTTATGAGCTGTGCATTCAGGGCCAGATACAAATAATTTATTTTGTGTTTTCCTGTTACTCCTTTGTCTTTCAATCTTATTCATTTTATATGTGTGTGTTTGTGTTTGTAGATAGACAGACAGACAGACAGATAGATAGATAGGCAGGCAGGCAGGCAGACAGACAGATGTTTCAACCTAGAGCAGTTTAAAATCCTTTAGTTTTTTTATGATTTTTGTTGAGGTAAAATACTACCTTTCTGATTAAACATATCTTAATTGTTTGCCCTTTCACAGATGGACACTAACCTGCTCACACGTGTGGTGTGTTCTCCAGGACCATTAGGGGATGCTACTGACCTGTTGGTCATCACTTAAGCTCTCATGTTCAGAACAGTCAGAGTCTAATCTTACTTCACTGTTTTGTCTACGTGCTGATTGATTTACTCGTAGTTTTACTAGCCCTAATGTCAAGATTTTTTTCTTCACTCATCCATTAACATTGTTGGCATCACAGCATGCGGCCTCCACAAAATGTCATACTGTAATCTAACTTGTGTTAAGTCAAAAAATAATATATGAAGAATACCTGTCCACTTGAAATGTTCTCGATGTTCTAAGCCACCCCTTCAAGGAACAGAGGCTGCCTGTACATGCAGTTCTCTCTTAGTGTAGCCCTGTGGGAGAAGTATCACTAGAGGTGGCCTCTGAGATGCCGGCTTGTGCCGCTTCTAGTTCCCTCTGTTTCGTGCTTGTGGTTCAAGATTTGAACCTTCTGATTCTGCTCTACCCACCATGCCTCCTGCCCCACGCTGCCCTGTCATGATGGACTCTCATCCCTCTGGAACCATAAACCTAAATAAACTCTTTCTTCTCGAGTTGCCCTGGTCATGGTGTTTTATCAGAGCAACAGAAAACTAACAGAGACACCAGGTGAGGGAAAGACATTATACAAATGTCTAGGTAAACAGAATGGACAGCCAGAACTTCACGAGCAGTCTAGGGCAAGGGGAAACAAGCACATGTCTATTTCTAGCAGGAAGTACAAATTAGTAACAACTTTCTCAAAAAATGTATAACCAAGAGCTTCTGGCCTACTAGACTCATTCTGGGGGTCTATTCCAAGAACATGATCAATTATGACGTCTACATAATGTCTCTGCTTCCTGCTTCCAGTTCAAGATGTGAGCTCCCAGCTTCTACTTTTACGGTGATCTTGGCTTCCTTTTCATCTCTAATTCTACACGGAGTCCACTCCTCAGGCACCTGGAGTGCCTTCAGTAAATGTACCCCCAGAATCCTTACCTCCTTCCAAACTTGCTAAAGAGGAAAGAAATTCTACAGTGTGGCTTTTTACTACTTTGGGGGGGCACAGTGACCTTAAAATTTAGCGAAACATACACTTCTCCATTCTGAATGTACTTACATGAAACTTCCAAGGTTCGAGGGTGTAGGAAACGCCCATCTGTGTCACCTCACGTTGACACTTCCACCTGCCCTTCCTTTGATCATATGAAGGAAATGTCTATCGAGTCCTACTTCACAGCTGTTGGTTTCCTCTAAGAACAAATCTTAAAATATTTTCTCAAATGTCTCTTAAGCCCTTATTAAAATAGCCTTTTTGTTTTTTTCCTTTATTTATTTAGAGACAGTGTCTCACTACATAGTCCTGGCTGGCCCGGAACTCAGAGCTCTGCCTGCCTCTGCCTCCTCCGCGCATGCCACCCCTCTGCCCCTCACTGGTGATGTCAAGATAGGGGATCCGTCAATTCACCGGCTACGCACATTCGTCCACTGTATAATGTATTTTGATTCCGCCTTGCAGCTAAAATAGTTTGTAGAGAAATATTTTAAAACATATACATGCCCTGATTATCATAAAATTCTCTTCCTATCTGGCAAACATTTTTGGTTCTTTGTTTTTATTACATTCGTTTGCTTGTTTTATTGTGTGTGTGTGCTGTGTGTGTGTGAGGCACAAGCCGTCGTGTGTGGGAATCAGAGGACAGTGTGTAGGAGCTGGCTTTCTTCTACCATGCGGTCCTGGGGATTGAACTAAGGTCATTAGACTTGGCAGCAAACCCCTTTCCCCACTGAGCCATCGCACCAGCCCTATGCTGATGACGCTTGCTTGGTCCTCCTTACAGTGGTTGCAAAGTGATGCTTCTGTATCCTCGAACTCACTGTCCATTTAGCAACTGCACTTCCCAATTAATCCATTTCTCTAGCAATGATTAGTAAGGCTGTGTCAATTACAATGTACTTATTAGACAGAATCTTACTATGCAGCCCAACCTGGCTTGGGATTCTTCATTTTCTGCTTCAAGCCTCCCACGTGATGGCATTACAGGAGTTTACCACCACGCCCAGCAGTATCTTAAGATCCACTTGTAGTAAATTACAGTTGCTCTTCAGCATCTGTGGATCTGGAATCCAGTCTCAAGCACACACAGATGGAAATGATTTCTTTAACAGCACCACCATTACCGTGTACAGGCTTGCTTCTCACGATTCAATCGGCAGTGCAACTGTTCACAAGACACGGACTCTGGAGCAGGTGTGACTCCCACAGGGACACTTGAATGGTGAAGCATGTCATGTTTTAAACATGGCAGGGAACTGAGCATCCATGGCTTTAGTTTCCAAGGGTCTCAGAATGCCACCGCCAGGGACACCAAAGGACAAATGTATTTTGGTACTTAAACTGCACAGAACTGTAAGGTGTGAGTTGGATCCCAAGCGAAACACCATCTTCAGAAGTTTTCTTCTTGTTCTGTCACATGAGATCCTCCAGGCTCACCCCACCCCAGCTTTGGAGGCCACCGTAGTGCCCCTTGGTGGGGACAGATATTAGCAACACCATTTCCCCTGGGGTGTGCTTAGCTGCTCTGTACCTTCACTCCTTTGCCCTTTCAGTAGGCAGGGCAGGGGAAAACGACATGCATGTTCTGAAAACATACAGATAGGCTCGAAGATAGATATATGCATGGGAGCACATAGACACGTGCCGTTAAGTTACGGTTTCACACCAACACTCCCAAGGAGGCCACACCCCTTCTTGATCCCATGCTCCTTCTTCCACGGGAGAATGGAGCTGAGCGCTGCCCACACATTTAGTCATCTGTTTAATCACGTGATACACACACAAACGTTACAGAACTGTTTTAATCTGCCACTAATAAATAATTAAGTCTATTAAGGAAGACAGGTGGGAAAGCGACGTGCCTCACTAGGAAGAGGTGTTTGCCACCAGGCCTAATGACTTGAATTTGATTTCCGGTGTCCGCATGGTGGAAGGAGAGAACTGACCCCTACAAGCTGTCCTTTGATCAAGTTCACGCATGCACTCAAGCACACGTGTAACAAATAAATGTAAACACTGTTTTCCTTTATAACAAAACTGCAAGGTTGCGTAGTGCCCACAGTAGCAAGTCCAGTCTAAGCTAATTCCTATCAACATCCTGAGAGCTGGAAAACCCCTTGTAAAAAAGACCAGAACGATCTTCACGTAGTTTGAATCTGAAAACACTTCAAACAGCAGCGCGTGAACTGTCGCTGCCATTTGCCACAGGAGTGACTGAGTCACTTCTACAAGAGCAAGGGAAGAACGTTTGCGAGAGGGTAAAAGGAAGGCTCGCCTTTTCCAATGTGTCGCCTGGTGTTTTCGATGGTGGAGTTCCGGTTGACGTTGGAGAGCAGCCCGAGGCAGAACCGGTTCTTGTTGTTGGAAGGGTCGGTGAAACCGTCCACCAGCACGCTGGTGGAGGAGGCGTGGAACGCTTCCCCCACCCGGTTGTTGAGCTCATAGTACACGATGGAGCACCAGTGCTTTGGCTCCTCGTAGGCGACCGCTTGCACATCTGTAAGAAGGAAGGAAGGTGCTGTGCTCCCGGCTTGTGCCTGGAGCGCCCCCAAACCGAAACCACACTGTAAAACTGGCTGAGCACCACGGAATGAAGACAGGCAAGGGCAGCTATGATGACCACATGGATCGTTTCTGAGAGCTGAAGTGCTTCTTATTAAGGGTGGCGTTCTCCTTTAATTGGGTAACAATCGTCTCCAATGACTAGCAGAATCCTAGCTCAGCAAACCCAGAGACAGCTTTTGCTGAATACTAACGACCTCTTACTTGCTCATTAACATACAGGAATAATAGGAACCCCTCCTGCTGGCACACTACCTACAAGAAATACAACAAGAGGCCAGTGAAAAAGCAAGGGCACAGAAACAAGGGATGTACCAATGGGGCTGCTGTAGAAGGAACTACTTTTGGCAAAGCCTTGGTGAACCTCTGCTTTCTCAAAGCACTGAAAATAACTTCTACCTGTCATGGAGAAACTGCCTGGCTTCCCAAGAGCCAGTGATGGTCATGGCTCCAGTTTTGCTGTGATTCTAGCTGAGGAAGAAATCTTGCCAGCTGGCCATTCTCCCTGAATGAATCATCTCTCTCTCATCCAGACTCCATGCTAACTTCCTTATATTTGCTTTAAGTCATGCCGAGCAGGTGTGTTTTGTCTCTCCCTTCCCAGAATGGGCCAACAATGGAAACTACCCAGCTTTCCTGACAGGACGCAGCTTGTTCAGTCCAATCTCTTAAGACTGATGAATCTCCAAACAGAAAATGCATTAAAAGCTTTCAACCAAAAGGCTGGGAGAAGAATCCTTTCCGAAGCAAACCTCCTAGAACATACCTTTGAGACCCCAGGGATACAAATCACACTATCGCTAACTTAATTATTACTGAGCTGAGCTTCACGGGGCCTCCGTGTTCGGCGGGGTGGTGAAAGGAGAACTTCCATGTTCTTCCTTAGTTACTCTGTTACCTAAGTGGCTAAGCTGAAAATAAACCATTTCCCTTGCTCTCTAAATAACTCCTCCCTGTCAGTCACTCTGCTGTTCTTCAAGAAGCAAAGCTTTATTAGTTCACAAGTGTCAGACCTCAAAGAGGGCTGCATCCTAGTCACACAGGCCTTTTATCAGCTTTCAGCATTGTTCAAAATGCTATTCATCTAGGTTAGACGCGGATACATTTTTTTTCCCCCTCCAAAAGGCCAGAAAGATTTTGTGGGACAAATGGTCTTCATCACAACTATTCCCCTCTGCCTTTGTATCACACAAAGACAGCCATTTATAATGTGTAACAAATGGGCACAGCTGTGTTCTAATAAAGCTTTATTTATAAAAACAGAGAGTAGGCTGAACTGTCTGTGGGCTGTACTCTGCTGAGCCCTGCTCTGGGAAAACCACCACAGGTAACAACAGGAAAAAAGCCAGTTTTTTTTTCCTTTGAAGATACTAGGTGATTTTAAATTGGCTCTAATGGGGAACATTTTAAAAGCTGCTTAACAGGAAAAAAAAAATCTTAAAAGGAAGGTCTCTATACGGGGTATTACAGCTAATCTCATCAGTGCTGTTACAGGGTCCACACGGGGTATCCTGATCCCCAAATAAAAATTCCAAAAATGGGTCACATAGAGGCTATTCTCTCACTCTTTACTTGTTGACTTCTAACTTCTAACGATGACCAAGACCCATAAAATACAGAGAGCCTATAAAGAAAATTTCAAAACAAAATTACTGCTTTATATATGTTCTAATTTACTTAACTGTACATAAGGTTCTTTGAAGTTATCATTGTAATTTTTAAATTTTGTTTCTGGAGCAGTTTTGGTCACTGCAAAACTGGCACAGGGACTTCTCCTACGCCTTCTTATGAAGATGTCCTATCAGAGTGTGCATTCGGGGATAACCAAGAACCAACATGGGCACATTATCAGCCCCCGCCCAGAGTTAGCATTAGGGCTTGTTCTTGGTGTTGTAGTTTACAGGTCTGAACATGTATGAACAGGGCATGCTGCTATCATCACATCACCATACACACAGCATAACATACAAGCCCTTAAAACCTATCAGTAACTCAGACAAAATCCAAGGTCCAAGACAAATTCAGCAGTCACCTTGCTTTCCAAGTTCAATTTGCTTCACACGTGGGCTGCATACTTAGTGGAGAACTCCCCGAAAAAATTGTGACTGGGGGTTCTGGATTGCCAGCACAGCATGGCACCTCATGGCATGGGGTAATGAGTGTTTGGTGTTCATGGCAGGGTCTGCGCTTTTAGTCTCTGCATTCTCTGCTCCCTGAAGCCTCGTCAACGGGCCACTGTGGCCATGGGAAGCAGGTGACGCCATCCACCAGGTCCCTATTGTGCTGACATGGACCTGACGGTGAAGACCAGCCGCTCCCCAAGAAGGAAAAGTAAACTTCAGTTCAGCTGTAAAGTCTTTGAGGGGAGAGGGGTAAATTCTCATCTTTTCAGTTCTTCTGGTAACAAAGTTAGGCGCAAGTGCAGAAAGAGGGAGGCAAGTGTCATTACTTGTTTCAGCAACAGGTAAGGGCTACAAAATACACGAGGCTTATGAGCATCTACTCCAACCCAAAGGCAGCGGTCTGGAAATGGGATGGCTTTCTAGTGAGATCACCTGTGGGAAGCCTGCTCTGCACTACTGTGGATGGCCAGTTCCTCGTGGCCCACTGAAAAACTCTTCTTGCAGCATCAATCCAAGTCATTACTTACTGAAGGCCTGAACACATGACCATCTAAATAACAGACATATCTGTTATGTAAAGTAGGACTCAATCGTTTCCTCCCTGCTAGCTCCTCATGCCCAAGAGATCTCTAACAACCTCATGGGTATACAGGTACATAAAACAGCTATACAAAACACACTATTAAAAATAAACAGTTGTTTGGCCTATCTATCTATCTATCTATCTATCTATCTATCTATCTATCTATCTATCTATCTATCTATCACATTTAAGCATCTACTAAAGGTAAAAGCAAACTAGCATGCTAATTAGATAAATATGCTTTTTTTTTTTTTCAAGACAAGGTTTTTCTGTGTATCCCTGGCTGTCTTGGAACTCACTTTGTAGACCAGGCTGGCCTCAAACTCAAGAGATCTGCCTGCCTCTGCCTCCCTAGTGCTAGGATTAAAGGCATGGGCCAACATGTCCAGCCCGCTTGTTTATTCTTCACAGAAACAATAAATGTTGGCTGAATATTTGGCGCTGATGAACATCCAGCTTGCTGGTTGTATTCAGAGCTCACTGACAGATTGGTGATCACCAAAGCTGAGAACTCATTTCATCTAACCGTGTAGGACCAAATGGAAGAAGGGTGCTCACGGCCATTTCAGAGTCTATTGGAAACCTGAGACCTCTGTCTTCAGTTCTGAGATCTTTTGTGGGATGGTGACAGAGTTTAAGCAAAGAGCTGGGCTCCACACAATTCTTTCCATTATGCTTAAAACAACGACAACAAAAACCTGTTCCTCTATGTTTCTCAAACAGCTGGTTTTTAAGGGTCTATATGAGTAACAGTAACATTTGGACATACAGACAACTCTAAGGGGAGAAAGTAGCAACTGATTTTACCTCCTCTGTTGATTTCCGAGGGCAGTGAAGGTGCCATCATATTCGTGTCCATTGGCTGAGAGCCATCCTGGGCCATGGGGTCTTCAGGAGGCAGGTAAGCAGGCGGGGGGGTGTCAGCTACAATGTTTTAAAGAAAAACAAGACATGCTTCAGGCATGTACTCTCTTCTGTGTTGATAGTCCTGGTGTATGTGCCCACCTGTTCATGTGCATGCAGACGCACACGTGTGCGCATGTATGTGGGGGGTCAGAGGATAACACTTTAGGTTCTTGTTTTTTAACGTGTTCTGGGGAGAGGAGGGACATGTTGGGGATGAGAGCATAACTTGGGAGTTAGGTCTCTTCGCCATGTACGTTCCAGGGACTGAATTCAGATTTTCACAATGGCAACAAGCATCTTAACCCACTGGGCCATCTGGTCAACCCTCATGGGGGGAGGGGGGTTCAGGGAAGCAAGGTCTCTCAGTGGCCTGGAGCTCTATGTGCAGGCTGCTTGGCCAGTGAGCCCAGGGGTCTGCCTGTCCCTGTTTCCCTGTGCTGAGGTTATTAAGCACTCAAGTCAGATCAACTACCTTAACAAAAGGCTGAGGTGACATATGCCTGCAATCGGGGCAGTTGGGAAACAGAAGCAGGATGAACTTAAAGTACAGTTTCAGAAAATGATCATATTCCCAAACTTTGTTTCCAGTGTCTTTTCAGTGAGAAGAGAGAAAAAAAAATGTAAGTTATCCTAGGAGTTTCCCTCTATCTACGATCACGTCACTTTCAATTTACTGAGAGCATCTGATCATGCTCTCTCTAATGCAGTGACTCCGAGAGCCTTTAAGTTTGGTTTCACAGGTGTACAAACTGCCTGATAAGACTTGGTAGGGAGAAACTTCTTCCAAGGCCTCTGACGTTAAAACTATGGGCAGGAATTTGCTGTCTGGGCTCCTTACAACCTAGGTTTCCCATGACTTTAAGCAATCTCTTAGAAGATTGCCCCAACCATTTAAGCAATGAATAGCTTAAAAATCCCCAGTTACAGAATAGTAGGAAATAAATTAGTTTAGCTCAGCGGTCTTCTGTTTCAGAATTTACATAGATCTCCTCTGAACGCTCTCTAACATTTAATACTGAAACCACTCACATTAATGCAAGACTGGTATTTTCTTACTGTGAAACACAGGACATTCGTTTCCCTGCACTTAAAAGCCGAGTTCCTCACTGGCTCATGAGCTCACCCAGCATGTGGAGCCCAGCCTTGAGAAGGAAATGTTACTTTAAGGATCCACGAGGGCTTGGGTGAGTACTTAGGGGCAACTGTGGAACCCAAATAACAAACTGCTCCTTCATGGCTCCCTGGCAACTCCTCCCCCCTCCCCCCGACCCTGGCAGAATCATGACCCAGCTGCCAAAAAGCAGGGAGCCAGCCAGGCTCCCGGGGCCTTCTTGGTGCTTCTCAGCTGTAAGGTCAACTCTGTTTTGCCTCAAGCCAGGAGCAAAGCAAGGAGCCTCTTCTTAGAACCCAATGGATTTCCACCAACAGGCTGGTGAAAATCTCATTAGCAACTTGTGGTAGCAGTAGGGCTCAGAGAGGCTGGTGCTTACTATCTCCCTATCTTACTGTCTTACACGCCCTTCCCCTGCACTGCTGCTGTTCAGGGTTTCTGCTTTAATCCCTTACAGCCAAGGACAAGAGTGAATTCTAGCAGTAGTCTTTGATTCTCTTTCCTGAGGCTCACCTGGGGTTGCCCCTGCTCAGAAGTCCTCTCAAACGGACCCTTTGACCACCAACCCATTCATCAGACTCAACAGGCATGCCAGGGGATGGGTAGACACAAAAACACCGAGTGTTATTAAAATAATCTATCTTCTCCCAATACTCAGGGAGTCAGAGGCAGGTGGATCTCTGTGGGTCTGAGGACAGCCTGGTCTACAAAGGGAGTCCAGAATAGCCAGGGCTACACAGAGAAACCCTGTCTTGGAAAACAAACAAACAAAAATCTATCTTCCGTCTTCATCCCAAACAGAAAAGCATAATGCCACATTAAACAAGATGAAAAATGAGTGATTAAAAAAAGAAAAAGTAAACAGTAATAAAGTGTGGACCAGTTTTCAATTTCTGAAGGCTCTACACGGATGATGGATTAAATTTTAATTTAAAGCACTTTTAAGTGGCTTTGTAAATACGCCTGCCCAGTCATTTTCCCTCATAAAAATATTCAGATTTCAAGATGATCTTTTCTTTTTAGTATCCTTCTTGATGTTGACGGCAAGAACTCAGGCACCGCTACTTGAGATGCTTGCCTACTAACCTGGGATTTGAAAAATGTAACGTTCTAATTAATCACTTATTTTGATAACTATTACACCATCCGTTATGACTAAAACAGGAAAATAACTGGTTTTTGTTGTTGTTGTTTTGTCTTAGCTAAGTTAAACAAGCAGATGGTCTCCAGCACTTCTGTTGCAATTTCTTGTTGTTAAAAGTAGATGCTTCTTGGGATTACATCACCGGCTAAATGGATCTAATTAAACTGGGGGTGCGATCCCTCGGGAAACGGTTCTTTTGTGGCTACACTGACAGCAGGGCTCTTCAACATCGGAAATGTTGGCGGGAACCACTTCTCAGAACAGCACTGTGTAACATGGCATTTGGCCCCTCTCCCTTTGTGGAGAGCAGAGACTGGAACAGCTTGCCACTCCCAGAAGGATGCAGCTGTTTCAAAACTTCTGAAAACAAGGGGAAAATACAACAGGAATCCAACAGGCCATCCCCTTCTCTGGCCGTGAGACTCCTCTGTGTAGAACTGGTGATCTGAAGACGGCTCACAGGGTTCAGACCTCCCTGGCCTCGCTCACCCACCTCCCCAAGCCCCAGGGTCCCTGTACGTCCCCTCCTACCTGGCATCTGGAAAGGGCTGCCTGGGTCCGAGCTGGTGGGGGAGTGAGGGTAGGTGCTGCTGCTGCTGCCGGGGGAGTTGGGGTAACTGCTGCCGGGGGAGTGGGGGAACGGGTGGCTATTGGGCTGCTGGAAGGAGTCTGGGAACGTGGCGTTCAGCGGCATGTGCGGCTCGTTCTGTCCCAGGTTGCGGAACTGAGCCAGAAGGCTGTGCTGAGGGTTGTACTCGCTGTGTCTCGGAACCAGCACCGGGGGGAGAACTGGAAATGGAAAGAAGAAACAGAGAGACAAATGAGAAAGGTGAAAACTGGTAACTGCCTCCCAGGAAGGGAGGACAAACGACCCGAACACCAGCTGTCAACTGGACAGTACGGACTAGAAGGACAGCGACTCTCCACTCCGGAGCAAGGACAGCCCAGACCACAGGACCCCAGCCAGTGAGTAGCACTACTGACCTGATGACCCGGGAATACCCCAAAACACAGTTTCAGATGAAAATGTGTTCCTTTATTCCCATCTTAATGTTTCTATTCTCAAAGAGCTAAAGCACAACTAACCATATACACGACTGGCTAAGCAGGTGGCTGCAGGAGCGAGGGGCCTGTCACACACTGGACAACCCCAGTTTGAGCCCTGGAACTCATGCAAAGGTGGACGGGCAGAAGAGAGTCCACAGAGCAGGTCTGTGGCATGTGCACACCTCCACACACATTTCACACACACACAACCAGCTCTCCAAACTGCACACAGACACTATGCATGCCGCACACACACTGTATGTACACACTGCACATGCACACAGACACACAGACACGCTGCACACTGGACTTACATATCGCACACACACAATTATATATCGATCCTGCACACACACAGCACTGTGGCACAGACCCACAAACCAAGTCCTCAGGAATAAAGGCAAAAGGTGCCCAGGCTGGAGTCCAGCCTGGGCTACCCTGTTTGCTATTTACATTTCACCACTGACATTCACCTGACAGTCTGCCAAGCTCTGAGTTCCTATGTATTATTTGCCAGGAAGTGTTTTAACTGACGCTTTAACTCCTTTCAGAATAAAAAGCGGTGTCACAGCGGGCACGTGAAACCCAACGGCCAGGGAAGACGGTTAGTTACTTGGCCTCTGACAGTCTGCGGTGTCCTAGCAGCCACACTGACAAATAGCCTTTCTCTAAGGATCTGGATGAAGGTCCCTACTTCTCCACGACCCCCAGAACAGGATCCAGGAGGACTCAGAAGTTATAGTCACATTTTGCTGAGAACCCCAAGATAGGAAGGTCTGAGGCAGGTACCTAGACAAAAGCAAACGGCGCCCCGTGTCCTGAAAGCTACAGGTTAAAAACCTGAGATGATGGAAATCGGCACAATCAGACCCGCAAATCCTGGCAGAGCCACCACCAAAATGGTGACCTAGAAGGGAAAGGTTGCCTAATGCTAACTTGTGAACCCCACCCTGGGAAATGTCGCTAGACCGCAAGATGTCCCCCAGAGTCACCAGGGCGCCCCTGAGTGACAAAGACCTTCAAAAGCCTGCCTGCCTTTGTAGTCGCAAAACGGTAGAGAAAAGCAACACGTTTTAAAGCTGCCTGCGAGAAGGAAGGAGGCTTTAAAATCAGTTACTGCGAATGGTGACTGGGTACCCCAGGGCACTTCTCTAAAGAAACATTCGGCGACATCAGAAATGCGGTTGACATTTGGGGCTGTCCAGGAACCCTATTCCTGGTTTACAGTGCTTCTGCTGGAAGGCACGTGAAACACTGGGGTTGTCACTGGCTTCAGCTGTAAACTGTTCATGAAGCAGATTTCAGTATTTGGGGAAATTATAAAATTCCTCACACTACATCCCGTTTGTCAATTATGTAGTGACGGCACTTGTGGATTTCCTGCTATACAAGTATAATCAATAGAATTTCTTAATGGAGTAGCGATGCAATCTGCCCAAAGCAAGTCATTATTTTCTGCTTCTACCTTCCAACAGTCAACTGAGGTGGAAACTATGTCAGAGAAATCCCTGGTCAAGGCCTTCCTACTGCCAGCAGAAATCTATCGTAAGTAAATTTGTGCTCTGAAAACAGCTCAATATCTTAAAATTACTTATGTATCCATAAATTCTGTCTTATAGCTGCTGCAGCCTAAGTTCACTCCCAAACTGGCCACTCCAACCACTTGCTCGATCCTTCCTTCCTTCCTTCCTTTTGGGGGCCTCAGAGAACCCACACTGGCCACCCATGCAGCTGAGAAGAACCTCTGGGTGCCAGGATCCCAGGCACGCACCAGCATGCCTGGCTTTCTTTCCCAGCATGCCTGGCTTTCCCATCTTGCCTTTCACTGTCATCAGCAAGAGCTCCTCCAGTTAACCACGTACTACAAATACAGCATGAACAGCTTTTACTCTGTTAAGCAGATTGTACTTCGTAAGGCACCCATTTTCACGGCTCTCACTGCCTAATAGCTTCAGAACAAGAAACTCAACTGTTCCCACTGCCAGCAGGTGGCAGAGGCCATGGAGGGCAAAGGGCACTGTGCCTCTGTATCCCAAATAGTCCTGCCATCACCTCGTTGCTTGGTAGTGGTTCTCCTCAAGGCGCAGTGCCGAGATGGCCCCAGTGCACATCCCAGCGAGATCAAGCAGCATTCTTAGGTGACCACAGTCAAGAACTATCAAGTACAGTGGAGAGGCTCTCGACGGAGGCTGTGACAAATGACCTTTCCCCCTCATCTCTGCTTGTTCTGCAGTTCACACTGCTGTGATCAGCCCAGTGCCTGCACACACTAAAAGCATGCACACTACCACTAGCTATGCTCGCCCGTCACGGCTGGTGTAGGTCCACAGGTCAGGAGGAGCTGCTGCCTGGCAGTGCCAATGTGTACACTAGAACGTTATGGACACAGGAGTGGACACACTCACCTCTGACTTATTTCACAGGCTGCCTCTTAACCTGGGTTCCTCTGATATCATAATGAAACCCAGCAATTCTTGGCTACCGAATTATGCAGATGACAGTATGCCCGTCTCTGGTGCCTGCCCAGAGGCCAAGCGCATCTGCCCATTTCCTTTCAATTGCCTGGTTAGACTGCTGCCCAGATCGCCTACTGCCCGCATCACTGCTTCTTTTGTAACGTCCAGCTGACAGGTGCTCCAGACTGAGTAAGCCTTGCACTTCTCACCCGGCTTCACCGTGCCTGAATGTTATCTTCCCTTCAACCAGCTTCACCTGGACGGCTGGACGATGCCTTTTCTTTCATTCTAGTACCCTTACTTCCCCGTCAGAACCCTAACCTAAGCAGGCTTCCTCCGTCCTTCTCCCTGCCTCCCGCTCATGGGCAGCAGCCACCGGCATGGATTTGTGAGTTCTTGATAAATGGGCTGAAATGTTCCTGTTCTTGTCTATTTTTGTGGTTCATACTGTCCAACAATTGGCCACTGTTTGCTTTCTGTCCCTTTAGGACATGCTACCACTCTTTTAAGCATTTCTTTGATTTGTGAAACTCAGTGTTCCAGGTGTTTCTCTTGCTTCTCCCTCTTCATCCCTGGGACCCCTTGTTCCTGTTAATGAGGGATGTCATAGAACCCGAACCCTGGGTTCTAACAGTCTTCTGGTATCACACTAACTCTAGCTGCGTGTGTGTGTGTGTGTGTCTGTGTGTGTGTGTGTGTGTGTGTGTGTGTGTGTGTGTGTGTGTGAAGTCCTTGGTTTCCAATGCTCTCCCAAGTCCAATCCAGCTTCATGAACTTTTTATTTGTCCTCTTTTATGTTACTGATTTGGGTATCTTGAGACAGGGCAGAGGCTAACCTCAAACTCGTAGCTGGGGATAATTCTGAATTGCTGATCCTCCTGCCTCCACTTCCCGAGCACAGGGATGACTGGCATGAGTCAACAAAGCATGCCACACATTCATGCATTCCCTTAATTCTAAATACACTAAGTTTCATTTTTTTTCAAAATTACTATATTAATACCATCTTATGACCTACACCTAGGAATTTGGAATCTGTTTTCTCCTTAAATTTACTTTTGCGTCCAAAATACAAGTATTCATTTCCATTTGTTCAACATTTGTTTGGTACAACTCCCACCTTCAGTGTTAAGCTCGTCTGCACAGTTCACTGTCCGTCCTCACTGTTCTCCCCAGTTCTTGGTAAACCCAGAAAACACTAACCTGGCTCTGAAGGTCAGACCCACACACCACCTCTCCCGGCTCCTCTGCTCAGTCGCCTCATTCTACCCTTCTCACAGGGTGGCTACCCACGGTCTTGTTTGTTTGCTCACCCTCTGGCTCTGTGTGCGTGTGTTTGCACACACCCATGCTGAACGGCAGAACTCACCCCTGCACCCTTCTGGGGTGTGCCGAGTCCCCCAGTTTGTTTAGGTTTCTGATTACGAGCTTTACCTGTGGTGTGAGAAAAGCATCTACTTTTACCTTCTTCTAAATGGTTAGCCAGCCCCTTACACGCCACTGATCAGAGTGCCTCTTGGCCCTGGGGACTGAGGGGTTACCTCTTCATGATGCCCTGTGTATGGTCTGCCTGTTCTCAGACATTTCAATCTAATCTGTGTCCATGACACCATTCTGATTTCTTAAATTACATATTATTAATTGTGTGTTTGTGTGCATGAGTATGCGAGCATGTACACACACAGCTGCTGTCTTCTCTCTGTTTCCTGGCTGTCCTGGAACTCGCTCTGTACACCAGGCTGGCCTTGAACTCAGAAATCAGCCTGCTCTGCCCCCTGAGTGCTGGGATGAAAGGTGGGTGCCACCGCCAGGGGTTTCAAGGATTGGCAGGTCCAGCTCCTGTTGCTTTCTCTTCTCTTTTTCCAAATGGCTTTGGTTACTGCCCAACTATCTTCCAGAAACAAGAAGTTCTTGATTCCTCATTGAGAGGCCATTACATTCCAGTTGACAGTAAAGCATGCTGGTGTTGAAAAGTCTTCAGAGTGAGGAAGAGCTGGGCTGTAGATGAAGGCAGGAGGGTGCTGAGTGCAAAGCTAGCCTGGGCAACTTAGCGAGACCATTCAAAATGAAAAATAGAGAGGCTGGGGAGCTGGCTCGGCGGTGAAGAGCACACGCCGCTCTTCCAGATCCCAGCACCCACACGCCTGGGCACACCGTTACCGGAAGAGAAAGCAGCGGCACTGCACAGGGCCCGGGCTCGTCTCCAGCACGGGAAGAACAAACAAAAGCACCAGAAAGGCCTGTCCAAGTCTCTGTGACTTGGAGACACTGTCTCCATTGGTTTCC